AAGAGCAGGAAGGAGAGGCAGAAAGCAGAGGAGGCAAGAGGGAAAAGGGAGGTAGAGGGAGGGCAGGGAAGAAAGGAAACCAAGGAAACAGGAGAAAGACAAGTCAAGTTCAAATGCTACACCCCCAGTGTTGTGTAACCCCAACTTCCCCTCCCACCCCCAGGTCTTTTCCATGCTGGGCTAGTGGGGGACTCACCAGTGCAGGGAGCCTCTGGTGGGTCAGAGCTGGCCCTGTAGAAGCCCAGAAGGCAGGGGCATATGGGGGCTGCAGGGTCAGAGGCCTGGCTTCGGGCAGGGCATGGTGAGCAGGGGGCATTCCCAGCTGAGGCCTTATAGGTCCCCGCAGGACAGGCTGAGGAGCCAGAGGGAAAGGGGGCATCACACTCACGGCACCCAGCCACCCTGAGCTCCCAATGCACCTGCACACAGACCTCTGCTCCCCAGAGTGGATCCTCTTTCCCTCCTGAGACCGAACCCCGTCCCCCATGCCCATCTCTTCCCAGGAGCAGAGAGGTATCCTGTGTCACTGGGACAGAAAGGAGGCTTGTGGGGGCTGTAGGCAGGGCCAGCCCAGCTGTGGGTGTCCCGGGCTGGGTTGCATAACCTCCTTCTGCAGTCAGTCTTCTTAGCCATTTCCACTGCTGCCTCTGCCTGCTTCCCAGCCACATGGCCCTCCAGGGAACCCTGCTCAACCAGGTGGCAAAAGGCGACAGAGGATCCTAACCAATAACCTAGGAGCTTAACTTTTAGTTGCCATCACTTCTTAGCTTGTAACCCCGGGATTCTTAGTGATTGCTGTGGAAGGATCCAGAAGATTCCAGATAATTTCAGATGAGTGGGCATTTGTGTGCCTCAGAAAATAAAATTGGGGAACACAGGTCCTTTTTGCAGATGGGGTATTTCTGAATTTGGGGGACAAAATGAAGCTTGGGGTGTTCAGGAGAGGAAGGCAAGGTCAGCGGCAGGTGAGAAGTGCTAGGCAGATGCCAGGAAATGGCTCTCACCTTGGCAGGCCTTGTCTCCACGTGCAGGCTGGTGTCCTGGCTGGCAGCGGCAGCCCCCGACGGCCACCATCCACTTGCCTTCTCCATTGCAGTGCAGCCTGGGGGGGCTGCCCCCAGCCTGGCCCCCCACGCCATCCTCCTCTGGCTCTGCGTGAGCCACACAGGTGCCCACAGCTGCCACCAGGGAAGCTCCCCCAGCCCCACTGGCCTGCGTCTCAGGAAAGGAGGAGAAGGCCCGCAGCACGGGGGCACAGGTGTAGGAGAAGAGCTTCACGGCCACCAGGGCCAGGCAGGCCCCTGTGTCCTGGAAGGCCACGTAGAAGCCACGCTGGGTAAGAGGGCCAAAGCTTCGCTCCTTGACATTCAGCCGCAGCCCGGCCCGCTGCCCAGTCCTGTGGAGACCCACAGCCCATGCGGAGGAGGAGGAGGAGGCAGGGAAGCTCTCATCGGCTGCGATGGTGTCCACCTTGGTCCACTGCTTGAGGTGCCAGGCAGAGCTTCTGTCAGGGCTGTCAGGCTCCTCAGCCTGGCGGTAGTAGAGGGTGAAGGTCTCCCTGCAGGTGCCCCCGCTCACGCCCAGGCTGGCGCAGGCCCGCACGGAGAAGTGGAGTCTGATGTGCACCCTCTGGGCCCCTCGCCGCTCCACGAAGTGTGTCTGCAGCCAGTTGTCCTGCCCGGTGCCTGCAGGGGCCCCTGCCACGTGGCAAGCCTCGAAGGTCCGAGTTAGGCGGCGCTGGTCATCCAGCACGCTCACCTCATCCCACTGCAGGGGCCGGAAGAAGGTTAGCTGCTGGGCTGTGCAGGGAGGTTGGGTGACAATGAAGGGAGCTGTCTACTCTATGGAGAGTAAATTCATGACAGTTAAGGCAAACAGGGGAGACCCTGAGATCCTGTTCTTCCAGAGAGCGGGAGTCCGAGCCTACCTAAGTACTCAGAGCTTCCTGCCTGAACCCTTCATTTAAAGACCGTGGAGAGGGACAGGGCTCCGACTGAAGAGCGGACTCACCCCACCTGGTGGGTAGGTGAGCCAGCCAATCTCAGAGGTCTCTCCTGTGGTGTCCAGCAGCACCTCTGCCAGAGAGAAAGGGACACAGTGCCAAAGCAGCCATCCACCCCAAGGTCACCCAAAGAATGTCTCTCCCTGGTCCATTTCACTTGGCAGCGAAAGCTCAGCTGCTGTCCGAAACCTGTCTCTGAAATACCTGGCATAGGTCCCTCATGATCCCCGTGATCCCCCTCTTTAATGTCTGCACTCTTTTCTACCTCTTGGAGCCCTCCCCCTGCACACATCTGTCTCCCCTGGCAGGTGGGTGTATCCCACCTCCTCCTCCTTACCTTCCAGAGCCAGCACTGAGGGCCCCAGGATCAAGACCCACAGGCTGCACACCATGCCCACCACTCTGATCCTCCAATTTGCAGCGCTCTTAGTAGCCATGGGACATCTTCAGGGCTCCCACGATTACCCTGGACACCACCCTGCTTCCAGGTGGGGCTGTGGCTTTCACA